TGCAGAAGGCAAGTGCCTTTTCTCCTATTCCTTGGCAAAACATTGGGTAAGCTTAATTTTTTTTCTTTCTTCCTTCCCCCCCTCCTTTTTCTGGATTGTAGTCTTCAATCACTTCTCTGCCTGACAGCAGCTCTGTGCTCCCTGCCTGGGCTGGAGGAGGGGAGGTGGTGTAGGGAGAGGACGAAGACAATATTTCGTGGTGTTTGGAGGGAAGGGCTCTGCAGTGCTGGTGTCTTGCTGGCCTGACGTGGATCTGTCATGGTGGCACAGTAGTACCAGTGCAGGCAGCTAGGTGTTTATTTTAGCTGCCTTCATCCAGATGCAAAAAACCCTCAGCATCTGGTCCACAGAAAATGAAAAGCAAAGGGCAATATTTGGAGATACAGTGGACTTGAGAAGGATGGGAGAACAGTAAAAGTGACAGAATCTTGATTTTATTTCTCTTTTCCTGTTCCCCATGTGAACTTGGGTAGCATTGCCTAGGAACAAGGGTGGTTTTTAGGGCGTGTGTTGAGCAAACATCGAAAAGATCTGGGGAGCGTAGGTGTTTTCCTGGCTCTGGCAGCCTGGCTAACGATCTCGGTCCTTTAAAACTGCCTCTCTTACACCGGTCACGTTTCAATCGTGTACCCCCTTCTCCCTCTCATCCCTCCTGCTCTCTGCTCTCTCTTCATCTTCCCCCAATCCTCTGGTGATGCAGGGCATGAGGAGGCCTACATTGATTTTGTTTCTATCCATGCATAGGAACAAATCTGCCAAGTGCAGTGAGTTCATTAAATCATGAATTCCTGTTATTCTGTATTTCCTGTCTTTTTACCCTGTCCCCAGTGCCTTTCTTGTCTTTGTGAGTTTGTAAGGCTGACCGATCTAGCAGAGGTTCAGCTTGGCGTAACCCAGCCCAGGCAAAAGGCCCAGTGAAGATGGCAGAGGGTGGGGGGAGTAGTTCTTGGATTCAAGTCTCAAAAGATGCATGCTGAATTTGGCCCAGCTTTCTGCCATCCCTGACCTGTTTTCCTACCAGTGGTAAACTTTTTGCACCTCAGTAACTATTGAATGTGACTTTCCTTTTTCATGGCTTTTCCACAGGATGAAGATGAGACGCCATAAGCTCTTTCTGACTCTCTGCATGGCTGGTCTCTGCCTCATCTCCTTCTTGCACTTCCTCAAGGCCCTTTCCTATGTCACCTTCCCCCGGGAGCTGGCTTCGCTTAGTCCCAACCTTGTCTCCAGCTTCTTCTGGAACAATGCCCCTGTCACACCTCAGGTCAGCCCTGAGCCAGGGGGTGCAGAGTTCCTCCGCACACCCCTGTACTCCCACTCCCCCTTGCTCCAGCCCCTGCCTCCCAGCAGAGCCAGCGAAGAGCTGCACAAAGTCGAGTTTGTGCTGCCAGAAGACATGACAGAATATTTTGTCCGTACCAAAGCTGGCGGTGTTTGCTTTAAACCAGGCACCAAGGTGTTGGAGAAGCCACCTGTGGGAGGGCGGCCGGAGGAGCGAGCAGATGGCGCAGCCTCGGGGCGGCCGGGCCGCCTTCCCACGCCTGGCAGGGCACCGGTGGCTGCTCCAAAGCACTGGGACCCCTGGCGACATCTCTGCATCCTATTCCTTACGGCTGGGGGGGGGGGGCGGGGGGGGGGGGGGGGGAGGGGGCCCCGCCGGGGGGCGCCCGCCCCAAAAGCCACTGAGCGCCAGTGGGACCAAGCGGCGCAAGTGGGTGGAGTGCGTGTGCTTGCCGGGTTGGCACGGCCCCAGCTGCGGGGTCCCCACTGTGGTCCAGTACTCCAACCTGCCCACCAAGGACCGCCTCGTGCCGCGGGAGACCCCCCGACGGGTCATCAACGCTATCAACGTCAACCATGAGTTTGACCTGCTGGATGTCCGCTTCCATGAGCTGGGAGACGTGGTGGACGCCTTTGTGGTGTGTGAGTCGAACTTCACGGCCTACGGAGAGCCGCGGACTCTCAAGTTCCGTGAGATGCTCCTCAACGGCTCCTTCGACTACATCCGCCACAAGGTGCTCTACGTCTTCCTGGACCACTTCCCCCAAGGCGGCCGCCAGGACGGTTGGATTGCTGACGATTACCTGCGCACCTTTCTCACCCGGGACGGCATCTCTCGCCTCCGCAACCTGCGCCCGGACGATGTCTTCATCATCGATGATGCTGATGAGATCCCAGCCCGTGACGGCGTGCTCTTCCTCAAGCTCTATGATGGCTGGACAGAGCCCTTCGCCTTTCACATGCGTAAGTCACTCTACGGCTTCTTCTGGAAGCAGCCAGGCACTTTGGAGGTGGTCTCGGGCTGCACCATGGGGATGCTCCAGGCTGTCTATGCTACCGATGGGATCCGTCTACGGCGCCGCGAATACTACACCATGCCTGGCTTTCGGCAGTATGAGAACAGCACAGGACACATCCTGGTGCAGTGGTCGCTGGGCAGCCCCCTCCACTTTGCTGGCTGGCACTGTTCCTGGTGTTTCACCCCAGAGGGGATCTACTTCAAACTGGTGTCAGCTCAGAATGGGGACTTCCCCCGCTGGGGTGACTACGAGGATAAACGAGACCTCAATTATATCCGGGAGCTGATCCGGACTGGTGGCTGGTTCGATGGTACTACGCAGGAGTATCCCCCTGCCGACCCCAAGGAGCATATGTACGCTCCCAAGTACCTGCTCAAGAACTACCAACGATTCCGCTACTTGTTGGAGAACCCCTACCGAAAAGCGGAGGGCACTGGGTGAGGCCACCAGGGCTCACGTGGGAAATCAGAACTTCATGACAAAGGGAAAGA